CTCTGCTCCCGGGAGTTCTGGAGAGAGTGCGCCGGGACGGGGTCCGTCTACTACTAGTGGCCCTGTTCTGGCAGGGCCGAGTATGGTTCTCGGACCTGATTTCCCTCCTCGACGGCTCTCCATGGGAGATTCCCGTCAGGAGGGATCTCCTCTCACAGGCGGAGGGTATGATCTTTCACCCCCGCCCTGAGCTGTGGAAGCTGTGGGTGTGGCCTCTGATGGGGCACAACTCATAGCTTCCGGTCACTCAAACGAGGTTGTTGAGAACATCCTCCAATCTAGAGCTCCCTCCACGAGGAAACTGTATGACTTGAAGTGGAAGCTTTTCACTTTTTGGTGCGGAGACCGCCAGCTCGACCCAGTTGACTGCCCAGTTGGTACAGTGCTGGAGTTCCTACAGGCCCGTTTCTCCGCAGGGTTGACCCACTTCACCCTGAAGGTCTACGTGGCGGCCATTGCGGCCTACCACGCCCCTCTCGGTGGCCAGTCAGTGGGCAGACATCCCCTGGTTACACGTTTCCTCCGTGGTGCGCTGAGGCCTCCGGCCAGAGAAGCTTATGCTAAGCGGTGGATCAGGATGCTATTCCATAGCCTTGAGTCCTCTGATCTCCCCTCGCCTCTGGGGGTCAAGGCTCCCTGAACTAGAAGTGTGGTGGCCTCCAAGGCCTTTTTGGCAGGTGTGTCTATGCAGGACATCTGCAACGCTGCGGGTTGGTCCACGCCCCTCACCGTGGTCACGCTGAAGGCGTTCCCATAGTGTTTCGACGCAGTGTCTCGTTCCCTCGAGGAACCATGGTTACATGCATAATGTGGAGACGTTATGATTGTGGCTAATATTTGATGCCATAATCCATATCCTTGTAGGTTTTTTTGAGCACTTACATCCTATGGTGATTCTTGTGAAGTGTGTAATGAAGACTCCCTCACACAACATTGTAAAAATATCTCTGCCGCTCTTGTGTGTAAGCAAGCAGACATAGGAACCTATCCATTTAACACACTACCTAGACATAGTCTCCATCTGCATTTTGACAAGGGTTTCTGGAAAGCATTCTCTGTTGGTATCATAAGGAACTATACAATAGGCATCTTTTATCAACCCACCTCTAAAACGAGAATGTCTCTTCTATTCTTTAGATAATAGTCTTTTTCAGACAGGCAATACATTACATCTGGCTGGATCAATAGCCTCTGCAGTGCTGCGTTCTTGACTCTCTGATTCTCCATTGCTGGCGGAGACAGTCTGTGGGTCCATGGCTAAAGCACTTGTCTCTCTGATGATGGAGTTATTGTGAATCTTTGAACACATTTGGCTTGTGCCTCCTATTAGGCATTTCACAGAATGTTGTTGCTAATTAAAATGTCCATATGGTTGTAGTGATGTACGGTACCATGTACAGTTAGATTTCTTAATGTTCTTGAAAGATACCAAAATCCTTTTTTTTCAGAATTCTTTAATGAATAGGAAGTTATGAATAAATAAAAATCACTGAGCTCAACTTCAGTTTTGGGTGCGTAGATCAATCAATAACATCACTTTCAAGTAAGGGATCTGCACTTGCTCTATCTTCTTAATAACTTTTCAATTTATTTTAATTTTGCGACAGAGCAATCGACAGTCAAACATTTTGGCAGCAAGCCTTCTTCAGTGAATCATCACTGAAGGCGAATAGAAAGTTAAAAAAATAATAATTTGTTCTTTATTGCCCACAAGCAGAAAAACATTCTTTCTTTTTAGTAATTTTTTAGCAATTAAAGCTTTATTTTTTATTTTTAAGCAGTTTTCACTTTTTTTAATTTGTAATTTTTCAGTCTTAAAATATTTTTGTCTGCATAATGTGCGGTACAAGACCTTTTTAGGTTGATTCTTCTGGTAAGTGTAGCATTATCAATACTTTCTTGAGCTGTTTTTCAACCAGTGGCAGATCGTTTGGGAAGCCATATTGTTTTTGCAATTCCGTTTGGTGATGGTAGCAAGTTTTATTAACAGAAATGACATGCTTTAAATTACACGCTTAAACAACTTAAATAGGTCCACAGATCCACATGGTTTAAAATTATTCTATAAAGGAAAGTACATGAAGTACAAGAAACAGCTGTCATAATTTGCTGAGGTTTTGGACCCTCTGAACTTTATTCTTCCTGGTCTTGTCCTTCAGGATTGGTGGAGCAGTGCCCATTGTCTTCTCATACTTTGCTGAGGTATTGGCAAGAGAGAAGCGTGGAGAGCATCTAAGCTGGCTCTGCATGTTCTGGATGATTGGAGAGATTTATGCCTCCGCCATGGCCTGGGCCATCATACCTCACTACGGTAACAGAACCAGCTTGTTTTGCTAATCATCATTATCAAGGTTTTTAATTATTAGTGAAATTTGACAATATTTTTTTTATTTTACATTGTTTCAGAATATTTCTATTTCAAACAAATGCTATGCTACATGTCTAAAAACCATGGGACTATAACTTTACATGTCTAAAATAACATGGCTTTATCAAGGTACAATCTCCAAAAAAACTATGATGATGCTTTTGTAAGCAAGCAAAATTTGAAGATAACAAATGTTAGCTTTTCATTTCCATATAAATGAAGTAACACAAGACACAGGTAGAGTCCGATTTCAACAATGTTCTCGGCGAGTTCAGGTCAAGGTGTCTGCTGTTCCTCCAGCACGTGGGGGCTGTCCTCTCACTGGCAGTGATGACTGTGAGGGAGTGGAGAACATTGGAGCTTTAGGTTAAGTGATTAATGTAGAAACAGAGCACTGCAGGGATATTTAAAGGATGAAGTGACTCCTGTGAGGGAAAGTATAGCCCGATGATTTATGAGAACCTCTACTCTGGAAATAAGCTGCACTCATCAGTAACAAAATGATGGAATAGAGGGGAAGGGAGGAGGAAAGGAGGTGAATGGATATGGAGAGGAGTCTCTCGGCCAAAACAACAGACCGTTTTCACTCCTATTTTGGGAGGCGGGGGGAGGTGTTTGCTCTGTTTTGTTCTCTCTGAATAGATCGTAATGAGGTTTTTCTCCTTGCGTTCTGAGACAAAACGAAAGGAGTGCTTGATTTATGAATGGCCCACGGTGGAGCCCAAGCAGGGGACAAGCTGTCAGACACAGTGGCTAGGAGAGTATTAGGGAGTCTGTATTATAGTCTGGAATCAATGGGAAACAGTCATAGGCTCTGTAAATTGGGTGCCTGTGTATACAAGGAAGAGGAGCAGCCATGGGTGGGTAGTTTACATTCAATCTCCCTTGTTCTCAAAGTATATGGTCATTTAGTGATCATTTACTGTATCTCGCTGTCTACATGTGCTAATATTTGCCGATCTCAATCAATTTAATCTAATATGCAAGTTGCATAAGCCCAAATGCATTATGGCACTACATATGTATTTTTGAATCAAATTTTGAAATTATTTAAGATCTACACCACCCCTTTTACTATATCGAAATTTCATTATAATTTAATTAAATTATAAATGGATGATTATTTAGTTTGGTTGGATGTAAACTACTGTGGCATGTATAAAGCTACTGTCTGTGACATGGCATAAGAGGGCGCACAATTTGAGGTATCGTTCATGTTTTTAATGCTGACAGTCTGGGAGTTATGCACCAAAGTATACCAAAGGGTTTGGGGTTTGTTTAAATCTCTGACTGTAATATTAATGCTTGCTTTAGCAAACACAACTAATAAATATAGCTGCAAGCAGCAATTCAAGCACTTAAGGCATTTAAGCACATAAGGAAAAAGACATTACATATTATTTAGCAAGCCTGTAACCACCTAAATCAATTATTAAAAAATCCAGGTGATTTACCATAGAAATATGACGTTTTTATAAAGTTTATGACTGTTATAGCGCCAGATGTGGTCCGATCTCCCTGAAATTTTGCATGCTTGTTTAGAATCACCTGTCGCATGTGGTTTCGTGAAGTTTTGAGTTTTTGTTTAGGCTTTATAGGCTTTTTGATATATTTGGACAGGCCCCTTTTCTAAAGGACCCCGTTATAGCTTCCCAAAGGGTAAATTTTAACATGATTTTGGTAATTATTGACCTAGAGCAGGGGTCGGGAACCTTTTTTGACCAAAGAGCCAATTTTTTTATATATACACTGAACAAAATTATAAACGCAACACTTTTGTTTTTGCCCCCATTTTTCATGAGCTGAACTCAAAGATCTAAGACTTATTCTATGTACACAAAAGGCCTATTTCTCTCGAATATTGTTCACAAATCTGTCTAAATCTGTGTTAGTGAGCACTTCTCCTTTGCCGAGATAATCCATCCACCTCACAGGTCTGGCATATTGGCTTTGAGTTTTTAATACTGTCTGCCTTCAAGAATGTCCTGCTCATTACTGTCTCATTCATTCACGTTCCTTTATTAATAACGCTAACAGTCCCACCCGCTGAAAGCTGCGCGGAAAAAGTGAAAGTAACCGGCTAAATGTTTCATACTGGCTCTTGGCACAGGAGAACACCCTCTTCTATAAAAACA